TGGGGGAATCCCTTCAAAACCATTCGGGGGCTCCGACCCCCCCACCCCCCACCCCCGGCGGCTGTTTGTGGGGACGTCGCCGGGCGCGATCGGCCCCCGAGACACGCGCACAGTCACCACACTCGACGGCATATCCCGCGAAGCGCTTTGAGACGACTCGACGACGGGTCACACCCCGGAGATTATCATCATCATCGTCACCACCATCATCATCATCACCAGTAACAGCACAGAGAGCAGCAACAAGAATAGCTGTTTAATTTGTCGAGAACCGATCGTCCAAAACGTCCCCAAAAACCTCATTAAGTTTATCAAAAGTCTCTTTTTATTAATTCGTATCACACAAATTTCACAAAGTTAATGTAATTGTGGCTCAGTTGTGTCACGTTAGAACAGTGCAGTAAACTCCAAATTAACTTCAGGGGAAAAAAAACTGAAGAGAAAATAAGAGACGGAGAGAAATTCCTTGTTTTTTTTTTGAAAAACACAACCTGACATCACTCTCCCTCTCCCCCTCCCTCCCTCCCTCCCTCCCTCCCTCCATCCCTCCCTCCCTCCCTCCCTCCCACACACTCCCTCCCTCCCTCCCACACACTCCCTCCCTCCCTCCCAACACAAACTTTATATTAAACGTTAAAAAAAATCCTAACTCGGAAGAGAGAAGGAAACCAGAGAGAGAGAGACAGAGAGAGAGACAGAGAGAGAGACACAGAGAGAGAGAGAGAGACACACACTGAGACAGAGAGACAGACAGAGAGAGAGAGACAGAGAGAGAGACACAGAGAGAGAGAGAGAGAGACACACACTAAGACAGAGAGACAGACAGAGAGAGAGACACAGAGAGAGAGAGAGAGAGAGACACACACACACACACACACAGAGAGGGAAAGAAAAGGAGAGAATAAATGAAGGAAATGAACGAGACAGAAAGAGGGGAAACGAGAGGAAAGCGAAAGAGGGGCAAAGGGGAGAAGTGAAGGGAAAAGTGAAGGAAGGGAACGAGACGGAGAGAGAGGGGGAAGAGAACGAGCGGAGAAAAACGTGACAGGAGGGAAGAGGAGAAAGGGAAAGGGGGAGTGTGGCGATGAGAGAGGGGGAGAGAGAGAGAGACGGGGGTGGGGGGGGGGGGGAGAGGGGGAAGAGAGGGAAAGAGAGAGAGAGAGAGAGAGAGAGAGAGAGAGAGAGCACCTTCAGCTTTGGAGCCAACAAAGGAAGTGTTATTTTTTTTATTTTTTTTAAAAAAATTAACAAAAATTACCCTTTTCATTTAAAAAAAATCACTTAAAATGCAATAAACGTTGGGGGGGGGAGAGGGGGGGGGGAAGAGAGAGAAAATCCCCCCCCCCACACACCACCGCCCCCCCCCCCCGCCCCCTCCGCCCGGGGGGAGTCCGACAGAGCCAATAAATAGAGAGATCTTATAAATTAAAAAGAAATGTACAATTTGAGGCAGAACGAGAAGAGGGGGAGAGGGAAGGGGGGAGTTTGAGGGTGTGGGGGTGGGGGTGGGGTGGGAGAGAACCCATTTCCTTACAAAATATAGGTGACGGGGGGTGGGGTGGGTGGGTGGGGGTGGGTGGGTGGGGTGGGGGGGGGAGACAAAACACAACCAAATAAGTTCATAAAACAGATCAGTTCATACCTTATCTGCGACTACACGAGGAATATAAACACATCTAACCAAAAATAACTCTGCAAATAACCCGTATTTAACAATGCAAATCACTTCTTAATGCTTCGTTTTGTCCGCACGCGCACACACGCCAAGTACGCACTCACTCGCGCGCGCACACGCGCACAAACACGCATGTCCACACACACACACACACACACACACACATATATCACTCACACACATGTCCGCGCACGCGCACGTGCGCACACACATCCCTTCCCATCGTTAAAAAGGCCAGATCGGTGTCTTGTTTTTGTGCCGTGTTTTTTTTTTTGGGGGTGGGGGGGGGTGGGGTCCGTCTGGGCGAGCGGAAGAGAGAGAGAGAGCGCGAGCGGGCGGGCGAGCGAGAGCTGGGGGGGGGGGGGGGGGGGAGCGAGAGGGAGGAGAAGGTGGTTCCGGCTGAAGGTGACGCCGGGATCGTCTGTGCCTCTTGAGGCTCCGCGTCAAAGATGCCGGGGCTTCGCCCGCTCGCCAATGCAAGGCTGGTGTTCAGGGGGAGAGAGAGAGAGAGAGAGAGGGGGGTGGGGGTGGGGGTGGGGGGTGGGGGGGAGCTCGGTGCTGGGAGACGGAGACGGAGACGGATGGCTGTTTGTTCTGCTGGTGTTTTGCCCTCGTTTTGTGCCCGGCCCGGCCCGAGGCGAGGGTCGAGGGTGAGGGTCGAGGGTGAGGGTCGAGGGTGAGGAGGAGCAAACAGAAGGGACCACGAGGAGCATTTGGTATGGCTTAAGAGAACGGCCGTCATCTGGACGAGGCCGGAACCGGAGCCTGTGAGAGAAACCGAGAGTCAGAGACACCGTCCCCACCGTGACAGAGACTGAACAATACCCCGGGGGCGGGGCCGGGTGAAGGGGGCGGGGCAAAGTGGGTGGGGCAAGTTGAGGTGGGCGGGGCAAGGTGAGGTGGGCGGGGGAAGTGGGTGGGGCAGGGCGAAGTGGGCGGGGCGGGGTGCAGTGGGTGGGGCGGGGTGAGGTGTACGGGGCGGGCGAAGTGGGTGGGGCGGGGCGAAGTGGGTGGGGCGGGGCGAAGTGGTGGGGTGAAGTGTACAGGGCGGGCGAAGTGGGTGGAGTGGGGTGAAGTGGGTGGGGCGAGGTGGGCAGGGCGGGGCGAGGTGGGCAGGGTGGGGCGAGGTGGGCAGGGCGGGGTGGGCGGGGCGGGGCGAGGCGAGGTGGGCGGGGCGGGTTGGGCGGGGCGGGCGAGGCGAGGTGGGCGGGGCGGGTTGGGCGGGGCGGGGCGAGGCGAGGTGGGCGGGGCGGGTTGGGCGGGGCGGGGCGAGGCGGGCGGGGCGAGGTGGGTGGGGCGAACTCACCAGCGTGAAGTGGTCATATGTGTTGACCAGATCCTCGGCTTTGTACTGTTCCAGGACGACTGTGTTGTGGAGGGACGGCGTCCGCAGACGCGCACAGTCCTCACAGTGCACAATGTAGGACTTGCGTGCGCTCGTCTCACTCGTAACAAACAGCAGATTAAATACCTCCAACTGCGAGAGAGAGAGAGAGAGAGAGACAGAGAGAGGGGCAGAGCCCCAGGTCACGGTTTGAGACTCAGTTAACTCACAGCGTGGGTTAGTGTTAGGGTGTGTGTGTGTTAAGAGTGTGTGTGGGTTAGTGTGTGTGTATGTGTGTGTGTGTGTGGGGGGGGCGGGTTAGTGTTAGTGTGTGTGTGTGTGGGTTAGTGTTAAGAGAGTATGTGTGTGTTAAGTGTTAAGAGTGTGTGTGTGTGTCTGTGTGCAGGGGGTGTGTGTGTCTGTGTGCAGGGGGTGTGCGTGTGTGTGCAGGGGGTGTGTGTGCAGGGGGGTTGTGTGTGTGCGCAGGGCGTGTGTGTGTCTGCGTGTAGGGGGTGTGCGTGTGTGTGCAGGGGTGTGTGTGTCTGTGTGCAGGGGGTATGTGTGCAGGGGGTGTGTGTGCAGGGGGTGTGCGTGTGTGTGCAGGAGGTGTGTGTGTGCAGGGGGTGTGTGTGCAGGGGGTGTGCGTGTGTGTGCAGGGGGTGTGTGTGTCTGTGTGCAGGAGGTGTGTGTGTGCAGGAGGTGTGTGTGCAGGGGGGTGTGTAGAGAGGGGGTGGGGGTAGAGAGAGACTGTACCTCACACTCGTTGCAGTAATACGCCGGTTCCTCTTTCACACGACTCTGGAATATAATCTTTTTGCCCGTTTTGGTCAAAGTGTCTCGGAGCAACTGACAATGCTTCAGGGAGGTCAGGAGACAGTACCTGGGGGTGTGGGGGGGGGGGGGGGGAGAGAGGGCAAAGTCACCTCTGTGATGCACACAGGAACAGGAGGAGGCCATTCAGCCCCTCGAGCCCGTTCCGCCATACTATTAGACCACCTGTGCCCTTCCCTCCATCACTGACGGCCACACTCTCAGCCGCTGTGTCCCGAAACTCTGTCCCTCTCTTCCTGTGCTTATGGTCACCGCCCCCACCCGCCCCCTCCCCGCGCCCAGAGGCGTCTCTGTGTCTGTGTGGGTGTGTGTGTGTATGTGTGTGTGGGTGTGTGTGTGTATGTGTGGGGGGGGTAGGGCAGTAGGGAAACTTACCTAAGGTTTCTCCCCGACCCGCCCGGGAATCGAACCCGGGTCCCTCTGGCTTGCGAGGCGAGGGGGTCTAACCCCTGAGCTACAGGGATTCCAGGCTAAGCTGCTGCTGCTGCTGTTGTTGTTGTTGTTGTTGGGGGTGGGGGTGACTTACTTGATCATCTTGTAGAGCTGGGGGTCGGACACCTTGACGGTCCGAGCTGCGTTCCAGGACACGTGGATCATCGGGACGATAGATTTGACGTTCTTGACTTTGTTCCACTCGTATCGTTCCAGGGCCAACTGGTACTGATAGGCTGTGTGTGAGGGGGGCGGGCGGGGGGGGGCAAGATAAATATGGCGTTAGGGTCAAGGCGTCGAGGGATACGGGGCGAAGGCGGGACGAAACGGGCTGGAGGGGCTGGTGTTTTTTCTCTCTCTTGCTGACCTGTTAACGGCCCCACGTTCCAGGCGATGTTGTTACACCATCCGGTGGCCTGGACCCAGTGGACGGTCCCGGCGTTGATCCACACCAGGTCTCCCGGGCGCTGGATGAAGCGGTAGACCGGGATGTTGGCGGCGTACAGGTCCTCCAGCACCGGCCACCAGGAGCCGGTCAGGTAGTCCACGCTGTGCCTGCGCAGGGAGAGACGGGGTGGGGGGTGGGGGGTGGGGGGGGGGGGAAGAGATGACGTCAAACAGTAATTTATGTTGTGTTAATATTGTCGTGACCGAGTGTTATGTAGGAGGACGGTCGAAAGAGCGGTCAGAGAGAGAGAGAGAGAGAGAGAGAGAGAGAGACGTACGTCCTTGAACGGAGGAGGGGAGGGGAGGGGTGAGAGGGAGGGAGTAGGAGAGACAGATTAATAATAATAATAATAATAATTCTGGCGTTTGACCCGGCGCCTGATCACGCCCTCGAGACATCTCAAAGCGCTTCGCGGGAGACACTGTGAGCGGTAGTGACCGCTGTGTGTGTTTTGCCGGCGCAACGGGGCAGCCGATCGCCCCCAGCGACGTCCCCACGAATGGACGTGGGTTGAGTGACCGCATTGTTATTTTCGGGGAATAATCATTGCCCCCAGGAAAGCGCTCTCCCCCCCCCCCCCCCAAGCGGATTCCTAGTTACGGCTGGTGAACAGAGGCGCGCGCGCGTGTGTGTATGTGTGTGTGAGTGTGTGTGTGACTGTGTATGTGTTGTGTGTGTGTTGTATGTGTGTGTTGTGTGTATGTGTGTGTGAGTGTGTACGTGTTGTATGTGTTGTGTGTGTATGTGTTGTGTGTGTGTTGTGTGTATGTGTGCGTGAGTGTGTATGTGTTGTGTGTGTGTTGTATGTGTTGTGTGTATGTGTGTTAGTGTGTATGTGTTGTGTGTACGTGAGTGTGTATGTGTTGTATGTGTGTTGTGTGTGTGTGTGTGTGTGTGGGGAGTAAGGAAACCTGCCTAAGGTTTCGCCCCGATCCGACCTGACCCGCCCCGCCCGGGAATCGAGCCCAGGTCCCTCTCGGGGGGGGGGGGGGGTCTAACCACTACTCTACGGCATTCCACATTAACGTTTGAGGGAGACAGGGCGGGGGCAAGAGGGTGAGACAGAGGTTGGGTGGGGGGGGGCGGGGGGGGGGAGAGAGAGAGAAAGTGTGTGCGCGTCTGAGTGTGTGTGACTGTGTGTGTGTGTGTGTGTGTCAGGAGTCACTCACCTCTCGCAGAACTGGCTGATGATCTCCCAGTACGCTTCAGGCACAGCGAACCACTCGCAGTCCCCGGGCCCGATGTTGATGTTGACCGAACAAAAGTTGTTGTTCTCCTGATGGCCTGTAGGGGGTGGGGGGTGGGTGGTGGGGGGGGGGGGGCAGAGAGAGGGAGAGGGAGGGAGGGAGAGAGAGAGAGAGAGAGAGACGTTACTCCTCCCGGACACACTCCTGTCGCTCAGCGGTTACAGCGCCCGCTGGGGGGTAATTGGCAGTTGAGGTACAGATCAGCTCCCGATCTCATAGGAGGGCGGAACGGGCTCGAGGGGCTGAATGGCCTCCTCCTGGCTGGCACTGACCTGGGGTGCGGCTCCCAGGCACCTTCATGTAGAGCTGGACTGTGTTCATCCCGTAAATAGTGTGTCCCACGTGGCTCAGCATGTTCCCATTCGACGTCACTCGCATAAATGCCGGCAACTTTAACAGCTCCTGTAACTGAGGCTTCCACCTGGTGGTGGGGTGGGGGGGGTGGGGGGGCGTGGGGGGAGAGAGAGGGGGGGAACGAGAGAGAGAGAGAGAGAGAGGGGGGGATTATTATTAATATCATTATCTCGGTGTGTGTCTCACCGATCGTAGGTTGTGCGGGGGGGGGGGGGAGAGGCTGTGGGAGGTGGGGGGAGAGGCTGTGGGGTTGGGGGAGAGGCTGTGGGAGGTGGGGGAGAGGCTGTGGGAGGTGGGGGGAGAGGCTGTGGGAGGTGGGGGGGAGAGGCTGTGGGAGGTGGGGGAGAGGCTGTGGGAGGTGGGGGAGAGGCTGTGGGAGGTGGGGGAGAGGCTGTGGGAGGTGGGGGGAGAGGCTGTGGGAGGTGGGGGAGAGGCTGTGGGAGTGGGGGGAGAGGCTGTGGGAGGTGGGGGGAGAGGCTGTGGGAGGTGGGGGAGAGGCTGTGGAGGTGGGGGGAGAGGCTGTGGGAGGTGGGGGGAGAGGCTGTGGGAGGTGGGGGAGAGGCTGTGGAGGTGGGGGAGAGGCTGTGGGAGGTGGGGGAGAGGCTGTGGGGTGGGGAGAGGCTGTGGGGTGGGGGGAGAGGCTGCGGGGTGGGGGAGAGGCTGTGGGTTGGGGGGGGGGGGGATTGGGTCGCTCACCTCTTGGGGTCGGACAGATCGATATTCGTCCCAAATTTGATGATTTTCATCCGCGTTTTCGGTTCACTTTCACTGCAGAGAGAGAGAGAGAGTCAGACATCACACATCACACAGGATCTCTCTCCCCCCCCCCCCCACTCAGCTCTCCCCACCACCCCCGTCTCTCTCTCTCACGCGCACACTCTCTTTTACCCCCTTTTCCCTCTCTCTTCCGTTTCCCCCTCCACACCACCTTCTTTCTCTCCCCATCTTTTACCCCCTTCAATTGGCTGCCGCGTTTGACCCACAAAATACAATCACTGCACTTTACGGTGTGTCCCGGGAAGCGCTTTGAGACGTCTATGCCAGGATTATTACGCCACCCCCCGGTGCGTCAAACCAATATCTTCCCCCATTGCCCCCCATCCCCGTGCAATGTCTTCCCCCTGCCCCAGGCCTGGTGTTACCTCTGTACGGGTTCCGTCGTGCTGTCTGGCTCCTCCACCTCGTCCTCACTGTCCTTTTCTTCCTGTCACGACACAAAGGGGGTGATTAGAGAGGGTTCGGGGGGAGGGGGGGGAAGGGTGAGGAAGAAGAAGAGATGGAGAGAGGGAGAGAAAGAGAGAGAGACACACACATAGAGAGGAGAGAGAGGTGGAGAGAGAGAGGGAGAGACACATACACATACTGAAGGGAGGGAGAGAGGGAGGGAGAGAGGGAGAGAGAGATGGAGAGGAGGGGAGGACGGAGAGAGGAGGGAGAGAGATGGGGAGGAGGGAGAGAGATGGAGAGAGGAGGGAGAGAGATGGGGAGGAGGGGAGGATGGAGAGAGATGGGGAGGAGGGAGAGAGATGGGGAGGAGGGGAGGACGGAGAGAGGAGGGAGAGAGGTGGGGAGGAGGGAGGACGGAGAGAGGAGGGAGAGAGATGGGGAGGAGGGGAGGACGGAGAGAGGAGGGAGAGAGATGGGGAGGAGAGGAGGACGGAGAGAGGAGGGAGAGAGGTGGGGATGAGGGAGGATGGAGAGAGGAGGAGAGAGGTGGGGAGGAGGGAGGATGGAGAGAGGAGGGAGAGAGGTGGGGGAGGGGAGGATGGAGAGAGGTGGGGAGGAGGGAGGACGGAGAGAGGAGGGAGAGAGATGGGGAGGAGGGAGGACGGAGAGAGGAGGAGAGAGGTGGGGAGGATGGAGAGAGGAGGGAGAGAGGTGGGGAGGTCGGAGAGAGGAGGGAGAGAGATGGGGAGGAGGGGAGGACGGAGAGAGGAGGAGAGAGATGGGGAGGAGGGAGGACGGAGAGAGGAGGGAGAGAGGTGGGGAGGAGGGGAGGACGGAGAGAGGAGGGAGAGATGGGGAGGAGGGGAGGATGGAGAGAGGAGGGAGAGAGGTGGGGAGGAGGGGAGGACGGAGAGAGGAGGGAGAGAGATGGGGAGGAGGGGAGGATGGAGAGAGGAGGGAGAGAGGTGGGGAGGAGGGGAGGATGGAGAGAGGAGGGAGAGAGGTGGGGAGGAGGGGAGGATGGAGAGAGGAGGGAGAGAGATGGGGAGGAGGGAGAGAGGTGGGGAGGAGGGGAGGATGGAGAGAGGAGGGAGAGAGGTAGGGAGGAGGGGAGGACGAAGAGAGGAGGGAGAGAGATGGGGAGGTCGGAGAGAGGAGGGAGAGAGATGGGGAGGAGGGAGGATGGAGAGAGGAGGGAGAGAGATGGGGAGGAGGGAGGATGGAGAGGAGGGAGAGAGGTGGGGAGGAGGGGAGGATGGAGAGAGGAGGGAGAGAGGTGGGAGAGGGGAGGATGGAGAGAGGAGGGAGAGAGGTGGGAGGAGGGGAGGATGGAGAGAGGAGGGAGAGAGGTGGGGAGGAGGGGAGGATGGAGAGAGGAGGGAGGGAGGAGGGAGGAGGGAGGATGGAGAGGAGGGGAGAGGTGGGGAGGACGGAGAGAGAGGGAGAGAGATGGGGAGAGGGAGGATGGAGAGAGGAGGGAGAGAGATGGGGAGGAGGGGAGGATGGAGAGAGGAGGGAGAGAGGTGGGGAGGAGGGGAGGATGGAGAGAGGAGGGGAGGAGGGGAGGATGGAGAGAGGTGGGGAGGAGGGGAGGATGGAGAGAGGAGGAGGAGCTG